GAGACCGCCGCCTACTACCTTCCTGGTGAGAAAGGCAAGATCTGCGGAATGCTGGCCTGTCATGTAGACGACCTCCTATGGGCTGGCAATGACAAGATGCAGGAGATCATGCTGTCAGTCCAACAGGACTTCAAGTTTGGAGTTGTTGAAAATGATGAGATGAAGTACTGCGGCCGGATCATCAGCCAATCCGAAGATGGCATCAAAGTCACCTGCCCGAACATCCTTGACCGCACCAAGGCCATCTACATCGATCCTGCACGCCGCAAGCAGTTGGCAGAGCCTGCCCGGGCTTCTGAGATTTCACAGCTCAGGTCAGTCGTCGGGTCTTTGAGCTGGCTTGGAAGAATCTGCAGGCCAGACCTTTGCTTCCGCATCAACCAACTTCAAGCTGTACAACAGCATGCTCAAGTTCGCCACCTCATCGAGGCGAACAAGTTGCTGAGCCATGCCATGCAGGACCGTGAGAAAGGCATCTACTACCCCAAGAATGCCATGGTCCTTGAGAATGCCATCATCACCAGTGTGACGGATGCTTCCTTCGGCCAGAGTGTGACCGCCGATGTCAATGGAAACCCCGCCGAACATCGAAGTCAGACTGGGCGCATCCTGCTGCTGACCAATGAAGAGTTCGAGAGCACTGGAACTGGTGTGGCATACCCAATAGAGTGGCACAGCAACACCATCAAAAGGGTCTGCAGGCCAACCTTGCAAGCTGAGACAATGAGCTTGCAGCTGGGAAGTGAAGAAGCAGAACACCTGCGCCATGTGCTGTTCACCGTGAAGAACCTCAGCACTGGAATGGCCAAGCAGGACCAGACCCTGGCAATGGATGCAACAAAGTGCCTGTGGCTCACTGACTGCCGCAGCCTGGCGGATCACCTTCAGAGTTCAAGTGGAGGTGAAGTCACTGACAAGAGACTCGCCATCGACCTCACGAGTCTCCGCCAGGATGTGTGGCGAGCTGCCGGCGAGACCGCCGGGAATCCAGCCTACTCAGAAAAGCTGCCCAACACCGGAACGACCGTGGTGAAGTGGATCGCCACGAAAAGCATGGTGGCAGACGCCCTGACGAAACCGATGAAGACAGAGCAGCTGGATGAGCTCACGAGCCGCGGCACCTTGCAGGTCCTCTACACTCAGTAAAAAGTTTACGGGTGTGAGAGTGACCGTGGTTCCATGTCACGACACCTTTTCCCTGTGTGTGTCGGCCTGAGTTTCGAGTACCGCCAACTGATGTTGGCTCAAGCTTCGCGCCTTGGAAAAGGCTTCGCACTGCCGCTCCAGTTTCAAAATTGTTTTTCCCCACTGGTGGAAAAAGGCTCGGGAGTCACCTTTGTCCGCCGCCCCTGAGGTAAAGTCTACGAATTCAGTGACTCATCTAGTACATTCTAGTGCACAATAGTAGTGATTCCCGTTTTTTGCCTGTCACATTGATTCCATAGTTGCAGACAAATACTTAGAACATCATTTTCCCAAAATGAAACACTCTTGGCCTTTACTTAGAACATCGAACTTTGAACATCCAGTGCAAGCACACTTAGAGAACATGGACCGCAAGCACTCTTAGAACAAGAGAAAACAGCACACTTTGAATTTCATATGATGTCATATGTATACTAGCTGTGCATATATATTACACCTGCATACCAGGACCCACAAGGGGTGGTTAATGGACACCCTTTAACCTCTGTCTAAGGGGCTATCAATCTCTATCTCTCTTGGGTTGGAGGCCATCGCTCTAAGGCAGCACAATTATTCTTTGCAAAGGCCACTTGCACAAAACACAGTTCATCTCTTTCGGAAGCACAGTTTAAAAATATAAGTTTAGAATAGTTTAGACGCGGATATGCTTTCCAAAACCATCCCAAGTCCAAACGTATCAAACTATGTCCTAAGTGGATATGTTGGACTATGTTCTTAGTGTAGTTGCGAGGGCCTGGGATGTTCTTACTCCAGGGTTAGAACATTTACCAACACATACTCTTAGAACTCTCGACCTATACACTTAGAACTTCCCGCCTGTGAAAAGAAAGTCTTTTCCATGTTCTAAGTTCTAAGTATATGTCTTATACTAGTATAGTCCTGCCTTTACTTCTCAGTCTACAGATGGACTCGACGGACTCGACGGACTTGGTCGTTGGTCGGTCCTCACAGGAGCGGACCGTCGAGTTGAAGCAGCACATGGCACGCACAGGTCGGGCAGGGTCTTCCCATTGGGACCGGACTAGCAGGTCTAGCAGGCTGGTCTGCAAGTTGTGGACTCAGACTTGGCAGAAACATCGCAACTGAAATCTGATCAAGCGCTAACCGATCCCATTCGTACCAGAGTCAACCTCCATCAACTTCACGTGAACCTTGGTGGGCACCCAACATGCTGGAAAGCACAAAGAATTACAACAAGAGCTACTCCAACTCTCCTCTTCAGACTTTCCGTTCGGATTCCAGGATTCCACACCCCTCGAAGCAGTCCTTGATCCCTCAATCCCGGCCGCACAACGAAACGGCCGGTGACTGGAGAAGCGACCGCGACTGAGCAGGTGACCAAGCCCGTCGAATTCTTTGCAGCTTATCCTTCCGCGCTTGGGCCCTGACCTTGGCGGAGGACGGCCGGGAAAAGGCCCTGGCTCGAGGGAGGGAGGCAGAGTATTGGAACGTGGAGAGAAGTTGTTGCAACATCTTTCATGCGAGTACAGAGTCTCTAAGAGATTCTGTCAGTCTCTCAGGTCACAAAGCCATGATCATTTTTCTTGTGCATGTCCCCTGTCCCATCAATTTGGGATAGCCGGCCGATGGGACCAGGAGAAGCGTCATGTGGCAGAGATCAGCTGTTGTGCAGGCATGCGCGAGGGTGGTGCAAGTCATGGTGCGAGTCATGTCTTTTCTTCCATGGCAGTCTCCGTTGAACATGGACGATTCTGGGAGCATGTGTTTCCTTGGGGGGGTGAACTAGAGTTTAGAGTAGACTAGTAGATATCAAAATAATGGGGTTGCAAGATTGTTTTCAGTTTCAACTAGTCTCCGTTGTTTCAATCGAATTGCTGCTTTGCCAAACCAACACAGAATTTAAGTGATCACTAGATGGTCTATTCAACCATGGCAGCTTTTATGTTGTCTACCAATGTCTACCACTGATGTTTTTTGTTGTTTTTTTCTCTCTATCTCTCTCTATCTTCCTTATATGTTAAGAAAGAGCAAAAAAAAGAAAATAAAGAGCCCAGATATATGATATATGCCACAAATCACACAAAAAATATATAACAATGAAGCACAACAATGACCCTCCGCACTGGCATCTCACCATCTTCCAGGCGTGGCCTTGGTGCGACGCTCTGGGCATGCCAAGGCATGTGAACGGCTTCTGACCTCGAAGCAACGCCTGGAAACAGAGGCAGGGTCTGAAGGCTTTTTGGCACACACCCGGTTCGGGGCAGGGCGGGTTTGGGGCGGAGCTACAGGGGTTCATTGGGTGTTCCTATGTTTTTGTTTGATGCTTCTTTTTTGTTTTTCGGGGATTCCTGCTTCGAGACACGCCGATGAAGTGAATTTAGCTAAGCTTTTAGCGGACTCGCACTGACTATAATATAGTTACTAGATGACCACCTCAATGTTGATGGACATACAGAACGAAGATGAGTACCACCTACGACGGGACGGGTTCTAAAACGAGAAAAGTAGTGGAACCAGCAGTATCCAGCAGTGGTCCTTTTGTCCGTGTCCATTTGTTTGTGGCTGGTTGCATTCAGTTTTGACAGTTTTGGTGTGTAAGGACAGTAACGACAGTGCACCACTCTTGATTCCCATGTCATGAATGCGGATGACTGCACCATGTCCATCATATCCTCCACTCCATCTGCACCGCGTTGGTCCTGGTCGCCAGTTGCAGATGCTGCACTGCTTTCGGGCGCACCTCGGTCGCAGCGAAAGCAACGACGTGGGGATGAAACGAGGCGAACAGGTGAACGAGGCGAGTCATTTGGTGCCCTGTGAGTGTGCCAAACGCTCCTCCAGTTGCTTTTTCCTTGCCAAAACGAGGTATGTGATGAGATGTATAGACACACATATACGGACCATCCATGTATGGAATAGTTACTGTACTTGATGTTACTCACATTTGGCATCATTTGGCCCATACATGGGGTAAATGTATGTATATTATAACTTTTCCATAGATGAAGTGTTTTGGTATGTGTATATATATATATAGTGACTCTGTGAACTCCATCTGGGTTAATTACCAGGTTCTTTCAAGTGTTTGACTGGGGAACGGGAATGAGTTGAATAGGTGCATCAGTTGAGGTTTGTTTGGGGAAGCTTAAAGGAATACCGAGGGAATGTCGTTGGAACCTTGAGGACAGGCGTTTGAAGAAAAGAATCGAGTATAAGGTAGATTTGGCGAGAACACAAAGAAACTGCAAGTACTTCTAGCACACCAGTTCGGCTTTACCCAGAGGAACGTGTTCTTTTGGAGCACCTATGCTTGACTTAAGTTCATCCTGGTTAAAAGGTTGGGTAACACTTCCTAAAATAGAACGCAGACAGTCGCAACTTTGCCGACCTTCCTGCTTGGGTTCGCGAGACACATTGACGCTCCAAAATCTCCCAACCAACCTCCCCTACTTCGACACTGCATCGGTTGGCTATTTGCTTAGGACTAGAGACCCCCAACCTCCCAACCCATTTTGTTCCACCCACGGTTGGGAGGTTGGCGTATCGGAATCTCCAAAACTCGAACACCTGTTAAGTGGCTGAGGTGGGCACAGTCCTGGGAACGAGGCGCGCATGTCGTGAAACGCATCGAAGCAGATGTTACTTGTCAAGATGTTAGAGCCTTGGAGGTAAGCAGACGTGAAGAAACAATCAGTGAGGCATAGGGAGGAAATGACAATTGCAATTGTTAAAACCGTTTTCACAATGTGAAGAAAATAAGAAATGAGGAAACATCGGCACAGCGAGGGTTCACCTCCGACAAGCTGTCTTGACTCGACCGACCTCAAACACGTTTGACTCGTGGCACTTTATCCAAATGGGTCACCCAACATGGACCGCAGGGACTGCAGGGTGGGGTAAAGAGTATCACGCAATCTGCGAAAACGGTCAAGTGTTCGGGACGGGACTGCAGGCCCGTCCAGTTCCACGGTCCCGATGCCAATGGTCCAATGTCTCACGGGTCGGTGCAGACCCAGAGAACAGTGATCACCAGCGCACTGGCAGGGATGGCTTAAATGCTTTGAGCAAAGTAATTCATTTGCTCGCTGTCCTAGCTTTGTGATGTCCTAGACAAAGAGCAGGTCGTTGTTCATTCTCTACGGTGACATCGTTCTTTGCATGAAAGTGGTGGATAGGTGACTCTGTCAATGCCAGGCACTCTGTCAATGGTGCGTGGCAGGACATAGCTGGTTGGTGTTCAACGCAACTTGAAAATTCAAAAGTAGAAACAAGAAGCTATTAGGAACAAGTGCCACGCTACTAGGAACAAGTGCCTTACTAGTAGTAACAATGTTCGCTATTAGAAACAATAAGAAGCTATAGAATGCTGGTGAGCGAGTTGCCGCCAGTACACTGTGGTATTTGGGTGAGCGGGTGAGCGCATGTGAGCGCCAGGTGCAGTCAGCGAAACAATCTGAGAAGATCCAGGAGGTATTTGTGCCCATGCTAGCTGTGGAAATCACACACGTGCGTATGGCACAAGTGTGAAGCGAAGCTTGACTGAGTTCACCGCCAGACCCTTTGATTTCAGAAAACGCACATTCTCCCCTGTGCCGTGCAATGTGCAACCAACAAGGATCAACAAGGCTGTTATTATGACTATTGTCGACTTGGACCCATCATTATGGGTATGTATGTATAAATCAAGTAATACATGTATCTAAACAGATATAATACTACTGTATTATACATACAGATGTATACACCCTTTCCTGATCACAACTTTGGTGCCCAGTCCATGATTCTGTTAAAACACCACTGGTGGGGACGAAAGGCTTTGGTTCTAACAAACCAAGCGTTTCGTCCTGCTTTCGAGGCCAGCGCAGCCGGAGGCGAATGCCGGGGGTGCATGGCATTTGGTGATCACGGAAACAAACGCTTGTCGTCCTGCCATTCCTGATTGTTTCGATTTCGGCATGAGAAGAGCGTATGTGGCTTCTGGCGGCCCATGCTTGTGTTGAGCCCACGGTTTTGGATGGTTTTGGCTTCCTGTTCAGTCCTGGGCCCGTTCGTTCCTGTGTGTTTCTTCTTGAATCTGGAAGAGAGAATCCAACATTTGGATAAATTTGGTACAGGCTAGGTCGGTATGTATATATAACACTTAGCAGGTATACCATCTCACAATCTTACAGTATACCAGGATATCATATCACCGGGAAGAGATCACCGGGTTTTCTGAAAGCCAGGACTCCAGGCGCTGCTCGTGGCCTCGCGCTCCGTGAGGGCCGACTCTTAGGGCAGGCGTGGGTTCGGGGAAAGGCAACCAATGTCACTACGTCACTCCTGTTTGTCTCATTCCTGTCAAGTGTACTTACTTGCGAAGCACAGTGACCAGTCTCGGGTCTTGCCTATACAATCCAGTAATATCCTGTACTAGTGACTAGTGAGACTGTGTTACGTTTGTGATTCACAGGCAAAGGGAAGCTCACGTGGCATCTAAATTCGAGGGTCGTACTGGTAGGTGGTTGTGATTGTTCTATGGTCGTAGGTGGCTTCTATCGCTCCGTCACATGGTTGGGGGGTCCGAGATCTCCACGCCGCGAAAGGAACAAGGAGTAAATGGTGGGTCAATCAGCGACTGACGTGACAGGACCATCGTATACCTGAACCATCCTGAACCAATCCTTGACAAACGAACAAATACTAATACACAGAGGAGCTTCAGGATTGGCAAACAAAGTCATTCCCTCTCCCATCCGAGGCCGTTTTGGGCAGGGTCCCATGTTCAGAAGATCTCTTGGCATTGGGCACAGCGCTGGTTTTGGATTTATTGTTGTTGACCGCGCCCCTAAGGGGCCATGCGGTTGTCACTTATTGAAGGAAGTACAAGATGTACAATGTACAAGACAACATAAGCATCGGAACCGACGAAGCGGCGACATGCCGTTGATACGTTTTTCTGTTTTTTCATGTTGAGTACGCTGGTACCATTTGGTACCCGTACCTATGTAATGATTACATATCATTGTAATGATTTGCCGTGTAATGATTTCCTTTCCCTATCAATGATTACATTGTAATCATGATCATCCTTTTGTTGGATGCGATATGTACTCAACCGGAGCTTTTACCCAAAGAAATATCATCCAAGACTCAAGACTGGTGACTACTAGAGATGTGGTCCAACTTCGATTGACTTTGTGCTCTTTGGATTGACTTTCAAGTCTTCGGCCTCTCAGATCTTCGGCCTCTGGCGAATTGCTAGCACCGGCGAGAAAGCGGGGCAGCCCGGTGGGGTCATTTGGTCCCCTAAGAGGGCGAGGAGGGCAGCCGAAAGCTCCCGAAAGATAGTTCCTCCATTTTAAAGAAATACAATTTTTCTGACTCCAATTCCTGCTTGCGTGGGTCGTTTGGCCTGGATGGTGCAACATGGACATTTCTGGCCATGTGCAGCTAGATCACGGGGTGATATTATGGAGTCAAGAGTAGAGGCATGTAGAGACTCAAGGCCACAAGATGGTTGATGCACAGAAGCGTGCACCTGCATTCATCATACCAAACAAGATGCATTTTGAACGCTGAGCTGCCCCAGTAGGTCAGTTGGTGAAGTTTTGCAACTCACTGATGTTCAAGTTTTGCCATGACTTACCACTCACGGCTGATGGAAATAGCGCTGCACGGCTGCCCTGGAAATGGTTTGACATGAACCATGCCAGCCACTTTAGTTCGGGCTACTCCATTTTCAAGTATTGTTTAAAGGATCCTAAAGGTTACTTAAACGTCCCTGTGTAGCTGTTTGTGTAAATGCGGAAAGCTGGAACCAGGGCAATGACGTCGCGCTCCCAAGAAGAGTCCTGTTCCAATGCTCACCAGAACACAAACGCAGCTGGTACAAGTGCCTCACCAGCAGTTGATGGGAATTTAGGTAGGGCACCCCAACCAATAGTGCGCAATTCCCAGTTTGATGAGTCCCTAGCCATCCCTTCCATTCCATTTCCAAGGCTGGGCTTGCCTTGAGGCACGGCCAGACAGGGGAAGAGTCTGGCGAGCACGCCAAGCAATCGATGCTGACAGTACGACTTTTATATACTTTTATTGATGATGCTTCCATGATCCTTTCAATGTTCTTGGGAATCGGGTGTCTATATGGGTAGTGTCCGCATGTGTCCGCGGTACATGTCCAGGCGTATTGGATGTTGGAATGCGTTGTCATGATGCTGTCGCACAACTATAGACTATAAGTGATCCATTTCTCCAATCTCCAAGTTCCACCTTGCGCGCTGGATTTCCAGACGTCTGTCCAGGAAGCTGCTTTTCCCCAGAGTGCTGGTCTGCCATGGTTTTCGATACATTGTCCGTTTTTGACGGCCGATGGAGAGCTATTTTCTCAGATTTTTTGAGTTGGTCCTTCCTAGGTCGCACCCGTAGATAATGGTCACGACATGTGTTTCTCCCTCTTACATTGCCTTGCCTGCTCCACTTGGGTGTATATCTCAAGGACATTCAAGGACAACTGGGCCAGAAGCAAAAGCAGATGATTCTTTGTTATTCGGTTGGGCTCGAGTTCCTCGTGCGGTTCCGTAACTTGAGATCGACGGCACCAGTTCGTCGCCCCTCCGACCTGCGAGCCGGCGGGCGCGGCCAGGAGTTTGTGGTCCATCGAAGCACAGCGAGGCTTCGGCGCTCTTCAGCGGAAGCTCAGCGCCTTGATTTGGAGCTCCGGTGTCGACATGTGTCGATCTTGTTTGCATTTCGGTGAGTAACCGGTCCGAGGTGCCCGCCATGAGGCTTTGAACACTGCCTTTTGCGCGCTGCAGGGGCATCGCGCCCTTGGCCAGCTTTGGCGCTCCTGGGTTGGGGGTCTCAATGTGCGCAATGTGCGATGCATGCGATGCATATATGATTGATTGATGGGTTGAACACCTGATGCGACAAACCTAGATGTTGGCAGGTGAACACAGTGCGATGAGGAAGGACATCTGGAAATTTAGGTGACTCAAGGCAGCCTATGCCGTTAGCTCCACCCCTGAAAACCCAGTGATTTCAGGCAGTGAATTGCTTGACAAAACCCAGCATTGCGTTTGTGGAAGAAGCACTGCAATAATTACGGGGACCTCGAACCTACAAAATAGGATGAAACATGTTTTGTTTTCCATAAATTGCCCATCGAGGAAGCTTCTTTGAACAGCATGCTGCTCTTATTGCAGCAGGCTCCACGTGTTGTTTTGGACAGAGCGATGATGGACGTGGGGCTGGAGCAGAAAACACATGGGGGCACCCATGATCGGAAGAAGCAGGAAGAAACCACCAAGGGAGGCAGGGCCAGGCACCAAGGTGGTTGCTGCAGGGCTTGCCTCGTTTGCCACGGTTCCAGGCATGCCGCGTCCACGCCAAGCGCAGGGCACAGGATAGGGTTGATGGGCATTGTCGGTCAGAGAGGATTGGAGACTTCTACCTTGAAGAGTATAGGTAACGCTCAGCTGCAGCACATCCCACAGACACCCCATATTGCCATTGGGTTGTGGGAGGAGCATCTTCAAGCTCCAGCATTGATGATCACTTTGAAACAGTCAATCAAATTGTACCTTTCAAGGTGTCAGCTATCCACCTGGTATGGAAATCGAGTGGACGTCCTGAGCAGCTTTGCTGTCCGATGGAACAAAAGATTTGCAATCTTAAAGCCTACATACTTTTGCCCCCTTTGCCCAACTGGATTGATGATTGTATGATATTGCTGCATGCAGGGAGACCGGAAAAAAGAACACCAAACCTTTTGAAGATGCCCAGCGGTGTACTACCCCCGTCTCATCCCATCACTGGTGTTTCGATGTTCGTTCGAATCAGCCGCAGGTGTGCCAGGTACGCTCAAAAGGTTTTGGTATCGAGGGTTCAATACTTTCCAAAGGCTACCTTGCATGGCCAATAGTGTTGCAACCTGGCACCTTGCCATTATAAAGAGTTGGCCTAGCAGAGTTTTTCCTGTCAGGAGCTTTACTTTGGATGTCAAAAGAAGAGCTGCTTAGTGCCGGGTCCTCAGCAGATCACAGGTGTTGTTCGTTGTTCCTGGTTCTTCACAGAATGGAATGGGCACTTGCATCTTGGTCTGCCGGATTCCCAACTCCATCAGCCAGAATTGTGGTCAATCACCAAAAAAAACCAGGGGGCCATGACTGGCCCACTCACCGAAACCAACGAGGCGGAGGTCCAAGGGATCCAAGGGCTTCTCGGAGCTCTAAGCCGCAACACCGAGTGTTTGCTGCTCTCAGCACTTGTTTGGCAGTTGGAACTCTCTGCAAAAAAAGATACACTTGCGAATTATGTTTGTTCTTTTCTAGAATGCCGTGATTTAGTGACAGAACGATTGAGTTAGTATATATATATATATATACAATTGATCAATCTTTGTCCCAGAGTGCAGCCTTCCAGATATTGAAACACATCTTCGCAGGGTAGGGCCTTGAAGCCCAACAGCAAGTGCTCATCAGAGAAACAAACGCAGCAACACCCTATGAAAAACCAGTGAAGCACTCAGCAACATACCATACATGCCCTGTTTGGCATTGTTATGGGCAGAAACCAATCGTGCCGAGTTGCACCCATTTCTAGATTCTACAGATCATGTTCGGTCTCAGTCTCTTGCTGTTTGTTGGTAGGGACTTTTCACATGGGT